ACATCATATAACATCAAGGAATTGCAAATTAAAACAACAAGGAGATACCACTACACACCTGTCAGAATGGTCAAAATCCGGGTCACTAATACTGCCCAAAGCTGGCGAGGATGGGGAGCAACAGGAACCCTCAGGGATTGCTGTTGGGAATGCAAACATTGCTACAACTTTCGAAGGCAGTTTGGCAATTTCTTAGGAAACTAAATACTCATATACCTCATGATCCAGCAACTACACTCCCAAAGGAGTTGATAACTTTTGTCTACACAAAAACCTATTCACAAATAATTACAGCAGCTCCATTTGTAATGGCCCAAACTTGGAAGCAGCCAAGTTGTCCTTCAGTAAACAAACAGCGGTACATTCGGATAATGGGATATTCAGCACTAAAGATAAATGAGTTATCAAACCACAAAAATATAGGGAGGAATCTCAAATGTGTATAGCTAAATGAAAGAAGTCAATCTGAAAGGCCCACATATTGTACAATTCCAACTGTCTGACTGGAAAAGGCAAAAACCACAGGTTGCCAAGGATTTGGGGGTGTGGGAGAGAGATGAATAGGGAAACTAGCATGTCATCAAGGCAGGGAAACTAATCCATTTGACACTGCAATGGTTGACATACATCATTGTCAAAATTCATGGTACAAACAACAGCGGGAGTGACCTGGATGTAAATGACTGACTTCAGCTAATAATAACATAGCAATGAATAGTATTCATCAATTATAAGAAATGTACCACACCAAGGCAAGATGTTAATAATTGGGGAAATCGGAGGAGGGCTGTGAGGGAGTATATGGGAACTCTCTGTACTTTCCGCTCATTTTTTAATCTTAAGTCTAAAATTTTTTTTGTTAAGAGTAGTAATTTTTTAAAAAATTAATTCTATCACCTTGGATGTTTGACTTTTCTTCACCCTCATTTTAGTTTCCTTGTCTTTGAAATGAGGGGCTTTAGTGATGTGACCCTATGTGTCCTCAAATAGGGAAAAGCCATGTGGGTCCTTCAGTATAAAGGCAAATAAACCTGTCCCACTCCCCCACCACCACTGCCAATAGCTCTGAAAGCTCTAGTATTATAATTAGCCTTGTCCCTGTTCAATCATTCAGGTGGTCTTCATGGAACCAACATTATCTGAATGTCCACCTTAATCCCCCCCGCAGCAATGGATGCTGGAGACAGAGTGACCACAGTCCCAGTTTGCCCAGCCTGAAGGACATCTTCCTCAGACAAGTTTCAGAGCTAAAACCAGGAAGACCCCAGGCCTAGGGATCAAGTCACAGTCCCCCATAAGGGGTTAGATGTAATATAAGCACTATTGTCAAAACACCATGAAGTAGTGACAAGGAAGAATGATTTTCCCAGAAGACAGAGAATCTGAATTAAGTCCTGGGGAGCACGCAGAAGCCCCCCATGAATATACTGGAGACGGGGGAGAAAGAAAGTTCACCCAGAGAGCACACCTGTGAAAATGTCCTCATTCATAGGTGCTGCAGGGAGAACGCAGGCTTTGGGGACTGGGAACAGGCAGATGTGCACAGCATCCACCCATCCAAAAGCAATCCAAAGCCAGGCCCACTCCCAACCCCCTCTGTCCCTTGGCCCAGGCCTTGGAGTACTGCTGAAGCCTGTCACACATGCAGAGACTGGTGCCATTTCAAATTCTCCATCTCCAACCTCAGCTGAGCCCTCGATGGTTGGCTGCTTATAAATCATTTCTCGTTTCTCAGTTTCCTTTCCCCCTTTACAAACTCTTGCTAACCTGGTCAAACCTATCCCACACCCCCTCCACACACACACACACCCTCAGCAGATGGCAATCTTCCTCAGTTCCCACCAGCCTCCCTGCCCTCTGCAACCTCACCACCGGCTCCTTCCTTCCATCCTTTTGCATAGAAGCTGTGGGTCTGCCGCTGCCTCACCAGATGTGGGTTCCTTGACCTTGACCTGTAAAAAATAAGTCACTTTTCTTTATAAACTACCTAGTTCTATCCACCCCTTCACTTCTTCTCTCCCCACACCCTACACCTAGGTGATCCCAGCTGCTCACCCGGCTTGAACTATTATCTCTATGCTGAAGATTCTCCAGTATATTATAGGTATTGTCACTTCAATGAGTCCATTTCAATCTGTTGTCAATATGTTGTTAATGTGAATGATAGTGAAAATATATAAATGTGATTTTATTTAAAAAAAAAAAAAGATTCTCCAGTATAAATATATAAATATTGAGAGCTCAGTCACATCTCTCCTCTGAGCATTGGCGGGAATATCTGACAGCTCCACTTAGAGGTCCCACAGGAGCCTCCTGAGGTGCCTTTCCTACCTCAATCCCCCTGTCTGAGCATCTGCTCCCCGCTCACCTCGAGGAAGGGAAGGGGGATGTATCTAGACCACTTATTTGTACCACGGAACCCTGACCCTTTCTTCAGTCCTGCTGTACCTCTGCCCCAGGCACAGTAATGATAAGACCTGCACCACCGCTGCTTGGAGCAGACAGAGGAGTCTGAATCTCTCTTTTGAAAATTTGAGTTGACAAACTGAAATCAGAAGGTGGGAGACCCTCCTTCCCTGCACAGTTCCTAACATGATGCTGGCACTCAGTAACGGCTGACGGTCCTGATTTCCTCCCCAAACCATATTCTTCTCCAGTTGCCTAAGCCAAAGTTCCCACTGCATTTTTACCCTCCCCCCTCACTCTGTGTATCCAGTCCTCCACGGGAACAACCTCCCAACTGATCCTCATTCTCTCCACATGTAGCCAGAGTATTCCTTCTCCAGCAGAAATCTCACTGGATCACTCTTTTAAAGGACCACCTGCGTTTCCCCCCACATATTTTGCCTTCCATAAAACATGAAAGCCCTCTCCCGACTCCCAAGACCCTCTGTGAACCAGCTTCGGCCCGCATCAGCATTCTTCATTTCACATGTCAATTTACACCTCACTCCGCCCTTTCCTAACACCCAACTCTCTTCCAGCCGCCCCCCTCCCCCCGCCCGGGCTTTTGCATATGCTCTTTCCCCCTGCCTGAACCATTCTTCCTCTGCCCCTTTCTGACTGTATTCTTCTTTTTTTAAAAAATTAATTAATCTATTTTAATTAGGTAGATATGACAGCAGAATGCATTTTGATTCACTGGACACAACTGCAGCACAACTTTACATTTCTATGGTTGTGCAAGATATAGTGTCACACCATATATGCAGTCATACATGTACCTAGGGTAATGATGTCTATCTCATTTCACCATCTTTCCTGCCCCCATGCACCCTCCCTACCCTCCCTCCCCTTTGCCCAATCAAAGTTCCTCCATTTTCCCCATGCCTTACTCCTCCCTCTTATGGATCAGCATCCACTTATCAGAAAGAACATTCAGCCTTTGGTTTGGGGGGATTGGCTTACTCCACTTGGCATGATATTCTCCAACTCCATTCGTTTACCTGTAAATGCCATAGTTTTATTCTCTTTTAATGCTTCATAATATTCCATTGTGTGTATATACCACAGTTTTCTTATCCATTCATCTATTGAAGGGCATCTAGGTTACTTCCACAGTTTAGCTATTGTGAATTGAGCTGCTATGAACATTGATGTGACTGCATTAGTATTGTATGTTGATTTTTAAGTCCTTTGGGTTATAGACCAAGGAGTGGGATAGCTGGGTCAAATGGTAGTTCCATTCCAAGTTTTCTAAGGACCCTCCATACTGATTTCCAGATTGCTTGCACCAATTTGCTGTCCCACCAGAAAAGTATGAGTGTGCCCTTTCGCCCACATCCTCACCAACACTTAATGTTGTTTGTATTCTTGATAACTGCCATCCTGACTGGCATGAGATGAAATCTTAGAGTTTCGATTTGCATTTCTCTAATTACTAGAAATGTTGGACATTTTTCATATATTTGTTGAACGAGTGTGTATCTTCTTCTGAGACGTCTCTGTTCAATTCCTTAGCCCATTTATTGATTAGGTTGTTTGTTTTTTTGTTGTTAAGTTTTTTGAGTTCTTTATATATCCTGGAGATTAGTGCCCTATCTGACGTATATGTGGCAAAAATTTGCTCCCAAAATGTAAGCTCTCTGCTCACCTCATTGATCATATACTTCTTGCTCATTCTTCAGGTATATCCTTAACTGTCACTTCCTAGGGACCACTTCCCAGTGCTGCTGGCAGGATGAGTTGCCCTCCTGTGGACCCAGGTGCACCCTTCATCACTCTTGACACTCACCTGCCACGCTCTGTCATTTAGCTCCCTCCGAACTGGTCTGGCTTCCAGTTCTGGATCCCACTTTCCATTTGACTGCATTTCTCTGTCATAACCTTGACGCTTGTGAAGGGTATCAGCCAGTTATTTTGTAGAATGACCCATTGTTTGCATTTGTCTGATGTTTACTCATGATTAGATGAAGGTCATGCCAAGAACACCACAGCAGAGATAGTGCATCCTCCTTGGGGTACCATGGCATGCTGTCGACAGACTGGTAATGGAAACTGACCAGTTGGTGAAGTGGTGGCTGCCAGGTTTCTCCTCTGTAAAATTATTGGGCTTCCCTTTGAAATAAATGAATAAATATCCTGTAGGACAATAATTTGAGACAATGCAAATGTCCTATTTCACTTCACATTGTCACCCTTTTCTTAGCTTCTCGATGATTCTTAGCAGATGGACTCATGAATATTATTCTATTTTATCTAGTCTATTACTGGTTTATTTTTTTATTTTTTTAGCTATAGGTGGACACAACATCTTCATTTTATTGTTATGTGGTGCTGAGGATTGAACCCTGCGCCCCATGCATGGTAGGTGAGCGCACTACCTCTGAGCCACAACCCCAGCCCCTTTATTACTGGTTATAATCTCTATCACTAGAGTATGTTTTTTTCCTTTTCTTTTTCTTCCCCACTCCCCACCTCTATTGGTACTAGGGATTGACTTGGGGTTGCTCTAGCACTGAGCTACATCCCCAGCCCTTTTTACTTTTTAGTTTGAGACAAGTTCTTGCTAAGTTGCCCAGGCTGTCCTCGAACTTGTGATCCTCCTGCCTCAGCTCCCCGAGGAACTGTGGTTACAGGCATGCATGCTGTACCTAGCTTCATTAATTATTTTATTACTCAAATTGTCTCAGCTTTGAGAGAATTTATTATTCATAGAAATCATAATCAATCTCATTATTCAAGTAGTTAAACAGAGCTCGGAGCAGTGACCATGGTACACACCTGTGGTCCCAGCTACTCAGGAGGCTGAGGCAGGAGGATCCCCTGATTCCACAAGTTCAAGGCCAGCCTGGGTAATGCAGTGAGACCTTGTTTCAGGAAAAAAAAAAGTACATTAACATTCATATTATCAATAAAGCAAATAAAGAAACCAACTTTAAACCACAAATTCTACTGTTCTTGGTCATTTAGGAGAAGTGATTCTTCAAAGATGAGTAGGTGCTTCCTGGCCAAAGCAGGGTGGGCTTTCCAGGTAGAAGTTGGGCACTGATGTGTGAAGCAGCCTGGTGCCTCTGAATGCCGCACTGCTTGGGTGAGTGAGCCATGGGTGTGCGTATACAAGAGAGTCAGGCAAGACGTTAAATCTGGAGAGGGGACAGGGGCCAAGTCCTAGCCTGCAGGTGACCAGAAGCAGCTGATGGATTTTAAGTAGAGGAATAGCATGTTGGATTTTTGTGATTTTTAAAAATTCTTTCTGGCTCCACAAGAGGGAGGGATGCAGGAGGGGTGCCAGGCTGTAGGCAGGACAGTGAGCTGGGAGATGAGCGTGGGCAGCAGTGGGAATGGAGAGGAGGAGGCAGACATGGAGACATGAAGGAGGGGGCATCAGAGTGCTCAGTGACCCAATATGGGGTGTAAGAGAAAGAGGGACAGAGAGGAGTCCAGGACGATGCCCAGGACGAGCCAGATAGTGGAGTCCTTCCTGGGAAAAAGAAATACAGGAAAAGGAGGGGAAGGTGAGCTCAGCTTTGGGCATGACTTGCCTCCGCTCTTGAAGTCATCTTCTGCTCCCTTTCCACTGGGCGATTCTTGCCATCTCTGCACAGCCATTTGCATTAGAGATGGAGACGTCCGGGAGGAAGCTGGAAATCTGAGTCTAGTGTTGATGGGTAAGGTTTAGACTGAGGATGTAGTTTTCTGAGTCATGAAAGGACAACATCCTTCACATAGAGGGCCAAGGACCAAGGATGATCCCTGGCAACAGCAGTGGGAAAGAGGTCCCAGTGGGAAAGAGGGGGAGGGGAAAAGTCAGAGCTGAAAGAGAGGAGGTGCCTGCACAAGTGAGGAAGAGCCCCTCCCACTCAGTCCTCAGCTGTGTGGGTGACCTCCCCCACCACAAATCAGAGAGCCCATCCGCCTCTATTCTTTTGCTCTTTTTCCAGAATTCCTCTGAACCCCACCAGGGTCAGTTGTTTATGGTGGAAACCTGGGAGTTTCCCTCAACACACCCCCATGATGGCTGGCCCCCCCATTACCCAGCCCTGTGGATTTCACCTCCTAAGCATCTCTCCCACCACATACACTCTCCTCTCTCCCTCTCCTATCTCCAGGGCCCCTTCTGTTCTGTCACTCTCATCTCTAGAATAATAAAAATTCAGACAAAACTGGGTATTCCATTTTATGTTCCAAAAGAGACTAGGTGTCTCTTAAATGTTCCGCATGCTCTGCACTGCTCCTTCCCAGTACCGAGCACAGACATTAACTCAAACTAAATCCATTTTTCTCCTCTTAAAAACAAGTTTGCTTTTCTTGAAGTTCCATCAGAGCAGGACTGTAACTGTCTATTTCTCCAGTCACCCAGCTCTGACATGCCATGGGGCCTCAGCAGGCATTTATTGAATGAATAAAGGTTGAGCTGTCTCCATGAGGTAGAAAAATTCCTTCAATTTTTAAAAGTTTTTGTTTGGAAATCATGTCACGCTATTAGAAAAATTGCAAAAGTAAAAATAGTTCCAAGAGCACTCGTGTAAAAAGCACCTTTTTCCAGATTCACCAATTCACATGGACCCCACTCGCTTTATCTCTTGCTCACTCTAACAACTTTGGAGGTTTCTAGTTGTATATGATTGCATATTATGTGTAAATTCTTTCTGAACCATTTGAGGGTAAATGACAGACCTCTTGGTCCTTCATGCTTAAGTGCTCACTGTGCATTTCCTAACGTGGGGATATTATCTTACATGACCACAGTATACTTATCAGTTACAAAAATTTACCATTGAAACAGCCCTTTTATCTAATCTACTGTTTGTATTCCAATTTTGGCAACTGACCCAAAACAGTCCTTGATAACATTTTTTTCTCCCTCAACACAGGTTCCAGTCTAGGGTCTGGTATTGCTTTGAGTTGTCATGTCTCATTAGCTTCCTGTAATCTGCAGCAGCACTTTCAAATAGAAATATTATTTGACACACAACACAAGTCACATTTTTAATTTAAAAATTTCCAGTAGCTACATTTAAAAAAGTAAAAAAAGAAACAAGTGAATTTAATTTTAGCTATATGTATCTATATATTTATGTTTTATTTTTTTTTTTGGTACTGGATATGGAACCCAGGGGAAGTTTACCACTGAGTGATATGCCCAGACCACACCCCCCATTCCCCTCCCCCGCTTTTTTTGAGACAGGATCTCACTGAGTTGCTGAGACTCTCACTAAGTTGCCCAAGCTGACCTCAAACCTGTGATCTTCCTGCCTCAGCCTCCCAAGTCACTGGGACTACAGGCATGTACCACTGTGCTTAGCCAACTATATATATTCTTTAACAACATCTCAAACATATTATTTCAACACAGAATCAATATGTAAATTATTAATTATCTACTTTACATATTTCTTTGAAATCCAGCATGTACTTTATACTTCTGGCACAACTTAGTCTCATTAGACAAATTCTGTGTGCTTAATAGCAGTATGTAGCCAGTGGCTACCATGTTGGGCTGTGCAGATTTGGAATATTTCTACAGTCCTTCCCTTTCTTCTATATATTTTTTTAAAAGAATATAGTCCTCCCTCTTTTTATAGTGAATCAGTTTTTTCTCACTGTGGTTTTCTAGTGATTCCTCATGTTCAGATTCTCATTGATCTACTAAATATGAGGTGTGGCCTTTTCAGGACATCTCAGCTAAAAGGACCCAAGAGCCACCTGTCCCTTATTGCTGATGATAGTTTTGATCACTTAGTCAAACTGTTGTCTTATTTCTCCTTTATATAATTATTCCTTTTCTTTGCAATTTTTTAAGTGAAAAGACTGAGATTTGTGAAAATGACTTGCCCAGCTTTATACAAATGGTAAGTGACAGAACTGGGATCCGAGTGCCTGCTTATCTTGCCACCATAATGGCTTTATCAGTTGGACAATGTTGATTAGTGCTGGCCTGGGCCATGGAGCATGCTAATAATTTATTAAGTTTAGTGCCATGAAAAGAAGAGTGAGCTGTTTTACCCTTTAAGGCTCACCGCTGGGGAACAGGGCCAAGCACCACTTAATAACTTGCTGCCCCTTCAAGTCTATATTCTTGAAATATTTTCTTAATATTCTTTGGCTCAACAGGAAAGCTTCTAGAAATTTGAACTACAAATATACTCACACATACATAGATTAACATTTGCACAGCCCATTGTGCTATTAATTGTAAGAGCAAAAGGGTAGACCCATTAATGTACATCGATAGGGAACTGGTTTAATGAATCATAATATTAGGAAGCTTGAATGAACTAAAAAGTCCCTCTCTATTTCCGATTCTGCTCAGTCTCAGCTGGTGGGGTGCTGAGTGGCTGGATGGAGTTAGGATTCAGCCAGTGGCCAGCCCAGGCTGTCTTTGGTAAGAGTGAGTGCTGTTCCTCCGTACCTCAGCTGTTCCTCCGTACCTCAGCAGCGATGATGACCTAACCTCTCATGAGTGATGATGACCAAGTCTCTTATGAGCCTCCTCCAAAAGTAGTCCAAACAGCCAGCAAGTTAAACCCAGAAGAGGAGCACCGGACCAGCTGCACACTCAGGAAGTCCCTGGCTATGGAAAAAACGATACTTCCTGGACCTTGTAGGTAATTCTGCCAGAGACCACAGGAGCCATCAGAGGACGTGAGGAAAGGCACAGACCCAGAATATCTTTGCACTTCTCCCTAGATGCCACTCAGACAAAGTTAGACTGGGCTCTGGAATCCACTAAAATGTGTAGGGTCAAGTGTCCCCTTGAGAGGTTACTTTGGCCACTGTGAAAGGGCCATATTGGGGGTAGGGGGAAGTACCATGCACACACTCTCCTTTTTCAGTGACATTTAAGACTCCATTGTCTTTGTGCTAACTTTAGCAGTTTACAATCATGGCAGCTCTTGTCACCAGGAATTCTTCCTTGAGACACCTTTCTTTCACAACTTGAAACCTTCTAACATCTGCTTCTTTCTGGGCACTGGTTAGGCATTTGGGGCACCATCCCACAGTGACAGCGACCATTGCTTTTTGTGCAGTAGCTTTCACCTGTTAGACCTGTGTCCTGAGGAGCATTTCTCCCTTGTCCCCATTTTTTCCCTTGATAGAATCATGAGCTAAAGTTGTATTGATGATCCAGAAATCTGTGACCCTTGGGATGTTACAAGGACCAATTTCTTGGTGTGAACTTCTAAAGGTGCTCTTTTCATAGATTTTGGGAAATATCAGCATTTAAAATATCATTTAAGCTCAATGGTGTACACCTGTAATCCCAGCTGCTTGGGAGGCTGAGACGGAAGGATCTCGAGTTCAAAGCCAGCCTCAGCAAAAGCAAGGCGCTAAGCAATTCAGTGAGACCTGTCTCTAAATAAAATACAAAATAGGGCTGGGGATGTGGCTTGGTGGTCAAATGCCCATGAGTTCAATCCCCAGTACCAAATATATATATATGATTTATTTCTGTCACATCTTTTTCTGCAATGGAGAGATATTGCTCCTGTGTTTTATTTCTCTTGAGCATCTGTTTTTTTTTTAAGGAAGGTTCAGTCTTGTATCTGTTTAATCTATTGTTTAAGTGGGTCCATTTATTTCCTATAAAATCAGTTGTTTTTTGCTTTTCTATAATTGTTTTCTGAACGTAATCCTTGAGTTTGTTTGTTTGTTTTTTTTAATAAGATTTTCCATAGTGAGAAATATAGTCATTAACCCCGAGTCTGTTAAAAGTAGTCACTGGTCAGACAAACCTTACTGGGTTGGAAAATCCTATCCAGAGATCTCCTTCCATCAACCCGTCATTGACCCTAGGCCTGGACTTGCTTTCTTTTCATCCTGCCTGGCTGCACTTCAATATATCTCATCTTTCCTGTGTTTTCTTTGAGAGACCAAATTCCACAAATTTCTCAGGTATTCCCTTCGGCATAGGCATTTCCTGGGTCACAAGAAGGTTCACACAATGATTTGAGTATTTTACACTGATCTTTCTAAGTCTATCCAAATTTCTGTAACCACTTTGTATTACATGCTTGAAGGGGTGGTTGCCAAGAGTTCTCACAATGCACTCTTGGTCAGCAGCCCTTTTCTGGGCAGATCTAAGAGGAATCTTCTCAGATTTTCCTGGATCCTGCAAAAAGTCATTCCAGTCTGCGTTTTTGTGAAAGTTCACTTCTCTCCTTCCATTGGACTTTGCTGGAATTCAAACACTGTTTCTGTTATAGACTTATCTAAAATAGGTCCCTCATTTCTATTTCCTTCTTTAATAGTAATTAGCCTTGGGTTTTCAGTAATATTGATCTATTTCTCTGCCACAAACTTAGAAGATGTCATGCTCTTTATGATGATGAATCCCCTTCTTCTTCCTTCTTCTCCTTTTATTTTCCTTCTCTGTCTCCTCCTCCTCCTCCCCCTCCCCTTCCCCTCTCCTCGTCCTCCTCCTCCTTCTTCTTCTTCTTCATTTTTTTTAACCTTTGTAAAATCTATTCTTTCATGGTTTAAACCACAATTTGGGCCTCCGATATTTAAAGCCATAATTAGATTTTATATTAGTAACAAATCTAGAGTCATTTTGAAATCACATGGTGGACATTTCTCCTGAACCTCTAGCTGACTTGCAGGAATTAAGTTAGTTCCCCTACAGTTCCTACTCTTGGTCCTGAGGACAGTTTAAAGCAGCATTAGAGAAGAATAGAATTTTGAGGAAGTTTATCTTATACAGCTTAAAGATACCTGCCACTAACACTCTAAAAAGTCACTGCTATTTGGAAAAACATCCCAAACCTCAATTTCTAGTCCTGGCCTCCTGGCTCAGGGACAAAGATTGCAGCAAAAATTGTCCTCAGTCCCTGACACCTAAAAAGCCCATATACTGAGATGCTCTTGTTTCGCTTCAATCAAATCCTTGCCTGTGCTACTTTTGCCTCCTAAGTCCATCTGAGAGGGTCCCAGCCTGTCGCTATGCCTGTGTGAAATAGCCCCTTTCTGGTAGACAAGAGGGCCTTCAGCTGCAGTGACCCACCAAGGTGAGAGTCCCATGTGGCCCATGCTAACCAAATCCTAAAGGTGCCTACCCAGGCCATACCCATTAAAAGCAAACTGTGTTGTGAAACACTGAGAATGAATGATATGCAACTATCCATGCCAATATGGATGACCTAATAAGTACAGTATTGAGTGAAAGAAGCCAGACACAGAGTTTATGTGGCATGATTGCATTTATGTAAATCACAAAAGCAAACAAGAACAATCCTTATGCTATCAGAGGTCAGGATATTAGTTGGCAGGTTGTGATTACCCACGAGAAGCCTTCCAGGGTGCTGGTGATGTTTTATTTCTTGACTGGGTGCTGTTTACATAAGAATATTCTGGTTGTAAAAATTCATCAAACTAAAAAAATTTTTTTTTAAATTCATCAAACTGTCTACACAGAGACACAAAGGAAGAAACACAGAGAAGGCCATGTAAAGACACAGAGAAGGGAATACTGCTGCCACAGACCAAGAAATGAGGAACCACCAGAAGAAACTGGAAGATGCAAGGAAGGGGGCCTCCGGTTGGTCCTGCCAACACTTTGATTTCAGACTTCCAGCCTCCAGAACTGTAAAAGAATAAATTTCTGTTGTCTAAGCCAATCAGTTTGTGGCAATTTGTTATGCTACACCAAGAAAACCAACAGAGAGGGCCAAATATATAATATCCCCCCTTTTTCCTATTCTAGTTCTAAACCGAGACATCAATGGCAGGTCAGATGCATACCAAAATTCTGCTTTGATTACTGATAATATTATATTAGATGGCCTGATTTAAATCTTGCCAAATCTCCTTGCTAATAACTGCCAGAGGATTGAACTTATTCCTCTAGATTACAGAGCTAGAAAAGTGCTAGAGCCTGCTCTGAAATGCTTACTGCTTGGCCCAGAGCAGATGAGGTCACGTTTTCTTCAGATGTTCTATAGGAGATGTGGGTGCTTCCTGCAGGAGTGGGGTGAAGAAGATTTCCATTACCCTGAGCAGTTCTGCTCCGGCCCTGCACTTGCCTATCCCCATTCATCAAGAGATAAACAGTTTATATCCACCCTCCTTAGACAGCCAATTAGGGGGTGCTAGTTATTACTTGAATATGTCCCTTTTGGGTTTGACATGCGTAAAAATCCATGGAGTGGCTTATCAGAGCATTCTAATCATGTGTACTGTTGTCCTTAAGAAGCACTATTGCTACAAGAAATTTCTATTTTTTGCTATATGTCATTAGTGTTCTAAGACTCCCCCGCAGCTGTTTGCCTGGCCTGCCACCTGCTGCATTGTGGAAACCAGTGAGGGATCTTCTTTTCACGATTATGCAATCAACTGTCAATCTGTAGGCCAGAGAACAGGCTGGATGTCACTTCCTGTATGGAACAGTTACCTGCAACAGGGATTCTCACTTCTAATCTTACTAAAGCCACCAGTCCCAGAAAGCATGACAATTAGCAGGTGAAGGTCACCCTTGGCTTAGCAGCTCCACGTGGTTCACCACCATCCCCAGTGGATGTTATTGCTGCAAGATCCGGGACAACCCATCCTGAACAGTATTCCAACTGCAAGAATCATTTATTCCTCTCGCTACTGCATCCCACTTCTGTCAACTAATTGTCTGGGCAACAAATGATCTGTTCAACTAATCTTCCTTGGGGTATAGTGTTATTGTCTTTCTCAAGGATTTTAGCCAGCTATTGTGAGTTAAAAGAACTTTGTTTCTTTTTTGACAGTACTAGGGATTGAGCCCAGGTATGCTCTACCTCTGAGATACATCACCACTCCTTTTTATTTTTTATTTTGAGACAGAGTCTCTATAAGTTGCCCAGACTGGCCTCCAACTTGTAATCCTCCTGCCTCAGCCTCTGGAGTTGCTGAGATTGTAGGCATGAGCTACCACACCTGGCTAGAAAGAAGTTCATCTGTGTCTCAGATAATGTATAGTGAGGGTGAGCACCAACTCTGCCGTGCTTGAAACTGGGGCCCATCAGAGCAATTGTCACTGTAAAGTGTGAAGTTCTCCATAGGAAGTTCCACTTTTCACTGCAGAGACACATCATGGGAGAGAGATTAGAAGAGACAGGTATAGTTTTAGCCACCAGAATAAGGAATTTATACCTCATCCTGCAGGTGGGAGGGAGCCCTGAGGAGCCCTTATCTAAGGGGGTGGCATGGTCTTTTTTTCTGCACTGTGTGGTGTAGGATGGAACAGAGGTGGCAAGTTCAGATTGAAAGCTATAGTGTGGTTCATGAGAGAAAACAAGGCTCTGAAATAAGGCAAGATTAGTGGAGATGGAGAGGAGGGGAAGGACATAAGAATGTACAGCAGATGGAATAATCTCATGGTTGGGGAGGAAAGATGGAGCATTGCTTATTACCTGCTGCTCACCACTGTTGACAAGAGGAACCGCAGGCAGGTCCCCGACTCCCAACCTGCACCTTCTCCACATGCACCAACACTCTTCGAGGATGTTTGTACCTGCCGTCTGTCAAGGCTCCGGGCTGGGTCTCTTTTCCCATCTCTGCTCCCACATCACATCTCTCCTAATTCACAAAATAAAAGTCCATCTCTCCTCCCTCCTGGAATCTCATAATAGTATGTTGCTCCTTTGCATGAGTGAAAGCCTCAGGAGTCATCCAAAAAGGAATACAGTTTCCAAAATCAATGTCAGTAAAACCTCTAATCAAGGTTGAGACTTCCCTTTCTGTCAAGCACAAAGCTCAGCCTTAAAAATAGGGGAGTTGGGCCCCTGGTGGACTGTTCTCCATTCAGTTGGACAGTCATGCATCCTATAATGGCATTTCCATCTGTAATAGACAGTCTATATGACAGCATTCCTAGAAGATGACAGAGATTCCTAGCACCTGGCCATCGTGAAGATGTAATTCAAGCATTACTTACACGGTTGTAGAAATGCTGGTATAAATAAACCAACTGTTCTGTCATGTAAAAATATAGCACATACAACTGTGTATAGTATGTCATACTTGATAATGATAACTTTCAACAACTATGTTATAGGTTTCTGTATTTACATGTTGTACTTTTTATCATTATTTTATTTTATTTTTGCCTAGTGAGGATTGAACCCAGGGGCACTTTACCAAGGAACTATATGCACCTGCCATTTTAATTTGTTTTGAGACAGGGTCTTGTCAAGTTGCTGAGGCTGTCCTTGAACTTGCACTCCTCCTGCCTTAGCCTTCTGAGTCACTGGGATTACAGGCATGTGCTACCACGTCTGGCTTCTATCATCATTTTAGAGTTGTGCTCCTACTACTAACAAATGAAAAGTTTACTGTAAACATTGTGCTGTGTTAAGCCCGCAGTGGCCTCATCCATCTGCTGTTTATCCTGTCTCTGATTGCATCTTGCCAAGTGACAGACCTGTGCTGTCTAAGTTTGTGTAAGTACCCTCTGTGATGTTCACACAATGACCTGATCAACTCATGCTGCAATCCTCAAAATGTGTCCCATCATTAAGTGACAAATGCCTCTACTGATTGGAATGGGAGCGATAGCAATTTTCCATCCCACTGTAGCAAAAGTTTGTGTGGTTGGGGCTGGGGATGTGGCTCAAGCGGTAGCACGCTCACCTGGCATGCATACGGCCTAGGTTCGATCCTCAGCACCGCATACAAAGAAAGATGTTTGTGTCCGCCGAAAACTAAAAAATAAATATTAAAAAAAAAAAGTTTGTGTGGCTCCTGAGAGACTGTGCTACGCGGGACAGAGTCTAGAGAGCCTCCATTTTTTAATCGTGACAAACACAGGGCAAGTCTCCTTGCCATTTCTTTCTTTCTTGTTTCTGACTATCTAGAAATTAGGATTCAGAAGTGGCGAAGCTGTTAAAAGGATTTCCATTAACACATTTCCTTGAACTGAGCAGGGAAAGCAGACTGTCTCTGACAGAAGTCCAATTTGGCCAATTGGTTATTCATTAAATATTTTCCACGAATTAAATGTGATTAATCTGTGCCACCAAGGTTCTGATAAAATATATATTTAAAGCAATTGATGAAATAAAAGCATCTTAATACAAAGATATATTGAATTTAATAAATATTTCTATCTCCCTAGATTTTCTAAGGACATCTGGCTAAATAAGCTGCCTTTAAATGACAGAGTAGCTATAGTAAAATTAAAAGCCATTAAACACGGCTGGGTAAAGCCTTCATATCTGAATTTCCAGAAATTGAAAAGAATATACTATGACCTGAATAACAAATCCATAGTAAGTTGAGTGGGTTTTATTTCTTTGTTATCAACAAATTGAAGGAGCACTCAGATCATCAATGTATCATCAAGTGGCAAAAAACAGTTTTGATAATGTATCACCATGTATCTTTGAGCAAATAATCAACAAATTGTGGCATTGCCATAATCAAACTCTTGTCATCTATTTTTTATGTGAGCATAATTTCCATAAAAACAAAAAATGAGAATGGAATTGATGTTGAATCATGTAAGCATTATTTATTCATGGATATATGGGTTAATTGAAAATGCATTTCCATTAAAATTTATCCTTTATTTAATAATTATTCACAAAAATATGTGCATTGTGTAAAGTCAGGGAAATTTAATTTTAATACATTTGTAGCAGAGAAACATAAGAGAATAATCAATAAAATATTTTCAGTCAGAAAAATATAACCCAATAAAATTATGTGGGGTTCGAGGACATAAAAACAAAGTAAAGTAAAAAAATGCATGTGAAGCTTTCAATTTTCAAGATCTTATACATGAATTTAATTATTCATTCATTCATTTCTTTCTCTCTCTCTTTTTTTTTTTTTTTTGCCATACTAGAGATAAAATGTCAGGCAAGCTCTTGGATGAGGATTCAAATCAAAAAAGCTACATTCCATCTGATGAATTATAAAGTGATTAACCTGATATATTTCAAACTGAGTATGTTCATAATATATGAATGACTAACAGGTATTACATAACAAAGGCTCAACCTCACTAGTCGTAAGGGAGATAGAAGTTAAAGCCACAACAGGGTATCACCTCACACCTGTGAGAATGGCTGTTATCAACAAAATAAGCCATTCAAGTATTACAAGGAGTGGACATAAGGAAACCCTTGTATATTGTCGATGGGAATGTAAATTAATGCAGCCATTGTGGAAAACTATATGAATATTCCTCAAAAACCTAAAAGCAAAATTACTTTATGATTCAGTGATCCCATTTCTGGGTATTTACCTGACAGATCTGAAATTAGTATGTGAAAGAGATGTCTACACACCTGTCTCCATTGTAGCCCAGTTCACCACAGCCAGGAGTCAACTTCAGTGTCCGTGCATGGATAAAGAAGATGTGGTGCCTATACACAGTGGAATACCAACAGACACAGAAAGGGAGAAATTGTGTCATTTGTGATAACATGGAAAGAACTGGAGGACATGATGCTAAGCAAAATAAGCCAAACAAGACAAATACTGTGTGGTCTCGCTTAAATGTAGAATATAAAACAATTCAATTTGTAGAAGCAGAGAGTAGAATATTACCAGAGCCTGGGCAGAAGGAGGTCAGGGGAATGGTAAGATGATCACCAAAGGGTATAAAGTCTTAGGAGGCATAAGTTTGATTTTTTAGACCTATTGCATAGAGTGATCAACATAGGTAAGTGGGTATTGTACATATCAATGTCTCTAAGAAAGTAAATCTCAAATGTTTCCGAGATAAATTTTATGAGGTGATAGTTAATTAGCATAATTTAGTCATTCTACATTTCATTAAAACACATGGCATCATTTTGTATCCCGAAAATACATGATTATAAATTGCCAATATATAATAAAAATGTTAATAAAGTGTCAATGGCAAAAATTACATCGTTTGCAACAAGCTCCCAGTTGGTCCCCAGAACATGAAACGCCACCGCGCTTCCCATCTCTCTTGGTTTCCCCCTTTCCCTCACTTTCTCATCCTTTCCCAGTTAATGCTTTCATTGCCACTTCCCTTTCCCTCTGATCTGTCATCGTTGTCACTGGCTAGGTAACAACTATTGCAGCTGCTTTTCTGCAGAGAATGGAATGGGTGTCATCCTCTCCTCTCACTCCACCCCTCTCCTAGCTCCTCCTCTCTTCGCTCTTCCTAGTCTGACTCGGGGTTCCCCGCAGTGCGTGCCCCCCAGTCCCTGGGCACCCTCCCGCTCCCCCAGTCCCGCCCTCCTTGATCCAGCCTGGGCGCTGCGCTCTGCGTCCTCCACCACCAGGCGCCTGGGGGACAGACAGTCGCGGACATAGCGCGCGACGGGGGCCTCGCCTTCCGCCTGGGGGAGAGCTGGAAGGTGGACCCTGATCTCCCACATCACTATTATGTAATTCCAGCCCCGGCCAAGCAAAGCCTGGCCCTTCCCGCTCCGCATACATTTCAGTCTCCTCTTGCCTTTCATCCGCGGAGGAGCCAGGGAGGGAGAGGATGTGACCTCATCTGCGAGGCATCTGAGCCCAGGGGTGCCCCAGGGCTCCCACCCAGGCGGGCCCCCCCATCCTGGCTCCCAGTGTCCCTCTTTCCATCAAAGGAGGGACGCAGTGGACAGCCAGAGGACTTAGTTTGGAGGGAAGGGACACTACATCTCTGAGAAAGGGGCAGATGGGAGAGGAAGTGAACTTGGCTAGACGTTCACTTTATGTAAAACATTCCCCAAACTGGAATCCCATGCACAGAGCTCCACACATACACCCGCTCAGGCATGGCTCAGACGCATGCCGGAAACCCCCACCCCCACCCCTAACTCACTCCTGCCCCAATATAATCGAAAGGCATGAATTAAGGCTAAAGCGTTTTCTTCTCTATTTTCTCTTGGTAGCACTATCTCCCGGAACCACAGACACCTGAATCCCAGAGCTGCCGTAACAGAATGGGACAGAAGGCCTGAAGAACTCCATCTTGAGAGCCGGCAGCCTGCTCTGGAACTGGTAGCATGGGCTAAGCATGACCAGACAGTAATCCTAGGAAAAAAAAAAAAAAAAAAAGTCTCTAAGTTGTGTCTGAATTCCCTACAATGAAGCTAAATTCCTTTGGGATCTTCAGGTCTCCAGTCTTCCAGGATTCTTGCTTTAAATCCAAGTACCTCGGGGTAGAGAGATGTATAGGATACCCCCCACACACACACACACACACCCCAGCCCCCTAGGAAATGGGAGAAGATGCAAGAGCGGAGCTGGTGAGGCTCAGAAAGAGCAGGGGGTAAATGGCTCTGTCCCCCTCCAAATCATTCCCCTGGGGGGCATGTGCCTGCAAGCCAGGAGCCAGCCCCCAAGTTATACAGGAAGATTGGTGGGCACCTCCTTCCCTGCTTCTCCTCAGGGCCACCCCTCTCTGGGCTACTGGTTCAATGCCCCTGGCCTTGGGATCTCCTCTCTAAGAATTCTGTACAAAGCTTTATTCTGTCCTGTGTGTGCTTTGTGCACATCAGAGTCACCCAGCCATCGATTAATAGAAAATAATAAATATAGCCCAGTTTGCTCCCTCTCAAATACTTTCAATCCCTCTTCCTTGCACCCATACATTCCCTGTGTCCCACCATCTACCCCGTGTCCTCCTCATCCTTCAGGTCTCTATCGAAGAGGCCTTTTCCAGCCACTTTGTCTAAAGTTGCTCTCCCTAGTATCTGTTATCTAACCCTATTTATTTTCCTCCAAGAAATTTTATTATTTAATTTGATTTTGTCTGTTTATTTGTTCACTTATTCATTATCAAGAGTGTTACACACACACACACACACACACAGCTCATAGGAGTGTGAGTTCCACAAACAGAGATTTTGCCAGATTCACCATTTATACAACCCTAGAATGGGACTGGTACCTTGGAGATAATACTTGTTGAATTAAAGTCACTGGGGTCTGGGGATGTGGCTCAAGCGGTAACGCGCTCGCCTGGCATGGGTGAGGCGCTGGGTTCTATCCTCAGCACCACATAAAAAAAATAAAATAAAGATGTTGTGTCCACTGAAAACTGAAAAATAAATATTAAAAAATTCTCTCTCTTTCTCTCTCTCTCTCTCAAATAAGATAAAATAAAAAATAAAGACACTGAAGGAAGACATGCTGGACATTGGTGACCCCTCATGCCCTCTGCAGCTTTCTATGTTAAAGCTTTTCACACTCAACTATTACATATAACATAAGCATCATTAACACATAAGGTATATATATAATGGTATGTGCATATAATAAATAAATATGTAACACATAATTATTGGACCACACTGCAAGCTACTTGTGCATGTTCCCTGAGACCTCTCTTGGACTCAGCTTCAGCCCAGCACCTGGGTAAAAGTAAATGTGCTCAAGAGTTTATTGGCTTGTTTGTTGACTATTATGGGGAGGAAAGTAGTTAGACTTATATTTGTACAGCTCTTACCAAGAGACTGCTAAGTTTTTCCACCCCATATGGTTCCACAACTCTAAAAAGTAAGCCTAGACTAGCACTACCCCTACTTTACAGATGAGCAAACTAAGTCTTGCAAATTGTTGAGTGATTTCTCCAGGGCAAGAATTAGTAAGAAAGGAGCTTGGAAATGTCCCATAATAACCAGAACTGCCTGTTTGTTCTTTCAGTTTTATAGACTTTGCTCTGTGTGTTTTGAAACTCTGCTAACATAAGTCCTTTAACATGATACAGACCGGATGGACTTGAGCTGCCTCCCTTCTGGGCTCTTCTTCCAGCTCTGTGTTATACTGGGTTTGTCTATCCTATGTTTTGCTCCTGCATTTCTTTTTTTTTTTTTTTTTTTTCGGTACCAGGCATTGAACTCAGGGGCACTCAACCACCGAGCCACACTCCCAGCCCTATTTTGTATTTTATGTAGACACAGAGTCTCACTGAGTTGCCCAGCACCTTGTTAGTTACTGAAGTTGGCTTTGAACTCTCGATCCTCCTGCCTCAGCCTCCCGAGACGCTGGGATTACAAGCATGCACCACTGCACCCAGCTCCACATTTCTTCTTAATAGCTTTTCCTGATTTCTTATGTCCTGTTCCTAGCACAGTGCCTGATGCCTCTTAGGCACATGTCTACTGCTAATTGACTTGGTTCTCCCTATCAGAGAGAGCACAAGGACTGCAACCAGAAATGCAGGACAAACCAAGACTCAGGAAGTCCTCTGCCACCTGAGCTAGGTGAGCACTTCACATATGAGGGTTGGATAAGTCAGCTTTTGCTAACACAGAGGGGTATGGAGGTTACAAATATTTCATTCCAGGCTCCACTTTTAGTTTCCCTTTGCTACCTTAGAACCTGCCTTCTCTCCTCTCTGGAGCAATCATCAGTCCTCCAGTATGGAAAAGGCTTTTTGCTTTGTATTTCAAAACCCTGTAAAGAGGACCCTAGGACTCAAGAGCAACGCCCCTAGGAAAGTAACGAAAAGAATAAAGCTCAAGGAAAAGCAGGAGCTGGCAGGGCAGAGAGGAGTGAATCAGAGTATTGCAACAGAAGGACCATGATGGCAACGTTGACTTCATATTCCGCATCATGTCACAGAGGTGACAGGGAGCAGGAGCCTGGAAATCGAGAGCTGATACTCAGCCAAAGGGACCACCAGCATGCAGCTTCAACATGTCACGGCCAGGCAAGAATGGCAGGAGGAGGGTGTTCAAGTCTATTCCAATTTTTTAAAAGAATCTGAAAACCTGGATTTTTATGAGAAATTCCCTAATTTTAAATGTCGGCCTGACTTAAAAAAAAAATAAAGTGTATGTGCCAAATAAAACACACCTGTGGGTTTTAATGGGCCAATGGGTAGCCAATTTGAAAGCCCTGTGTTAGAGTGGATACAAAGTGTGGAATGGAAAGAGACCAGCAAGGTGCAAAGGTGAAGGCCAGAGAATGAGGAAAGTTTCAAGGCTTATTAAGGAAACCAACTGGCAATGAAAGGACTTCAAATCCGATCAGGTTTCTGTCTTAGGAGGACCATTCTGATGGCAGCAAGGAGAATCAATGGGCAGGGATCAGCAGTGTAGGTAGGAAGACCAGTTTTAAAAAAGATATTGATAATAAAGGTGAGATTGTACAATGGCCTGGTCTCAGATGGTAGCAATGGGGCTAGATAGAAATAGATGCAGTTGAGAGAAATTCCAGATTTAGAATCACAGGACCTTGTATTTGATCTACTGTAAAACGTAAGGGGGTAAAAGGAACCAGCTAGAATGATGTGCGGATTTCTGGATCAGACAACTGAGTGGGTGTTAGTGGCATTTAACAAGCTAATGAACACAAAAAGGAGAAACAGTTTTGGAGGGAAAGTGAGTGACTTTTTGATCAGGTGGAAGTTAGAGACATACACATGGAAATTTCTAGTGGGCAATTAATTGGATTTCAATGAAAGAAACCTGTGTTGAAACTATAGATGTTGGGGGTCATTGGCAGGTCACACAAAGCTTCGAGATAGGCCGAGATCCCAAGGAAGAGTGTGCAGGTTGTGGATAAAAGAAAAGTTCTGGAGAGCGGTCCTTTTCAGGTTGGTTGCTCTCAGAGTAAAGGAAAGTCAGAAAAGAAGGAAGAAACCCAGCAGAGTGTGGTCTCAAGGAATCTCAGGACAGATGTCCAGGCACTACCTTGTGTGTAGACCACTGTGCCAAATGTCATAGAAATATCAAGGATGAGGACAGAAAAGTGTCCACTGAATCAGTGCCATGGAGGTCCGTAGTGACCCTGGTGAGCACACTTCCACTGACGTGGTTGGGATGACACCCAGCCTGCAGGAGCCTGAAGAAAACCAGATGCAGGTGTATCAAATCTCCCAAAGATGATGGCTGTGGAGAGAAAGAGAAAGGGAAGACCTAATGTTATGGTTTGGATATGAGGTGTCCCCAAAATCTCATGTGTGAGTCAAGCAAGAAGGTTTAGAGGAGAAATGATTGGGTTTCCTGATGGGAATAACCGAGTGGTTAATCCTGAAGACAGGCAGGGCGTGGCTGGAGGAGGTGGGTCCCTGGGGGCGTGCCTTTGGGTATATATTTTGTATCCGGAGAGTTGAAGTCTCTCCCTCTGCTTTCGATCATCATGGGAGCTGCTTCTCTCTGCCACACTCTTCTG